GTACGTACAACCACGACACTATATATATATATATATATATATATATATATATATATATTATATATATATATATATATATATTATGTATGTATGTATGCATATGTAAACATACATGTAGTCGTACTTATATGAATGTCACGCAACAGTACAGTCTATCTCGCACAAACAACTACACACACAAATACTTCTGGACCACACAGTGTTGCACCGACCGCTCGGATAACCCTTCCGCCTGTGTAGACTTTTTTAATGTAAAGAACAGTTTAAGTCGTAAAGGTTTAAATGAAGGAGCTCCTCCTCACTGCGCTAGGTGAATGCAACGGCTTAGGTTAAACGTTCGTCTAGCACCACAAGGAGGCTGTTAGCATATGGCTTGCGGAGGATGCAGGAGAGGCATGTTACGACTCCTTGTCTTCAAATGACGTCGGTGTTCATATTCGTTGCCAAGAACTTACGACTCGCTAAGGTACCGAACATCAGCATGTTTCAGTCTACTATACAAACCCGGTATGCCGATTGTTCCTTTTATTCATACGTTTATACATGCGGTTAGAGCTCGTCTCTAACCTCATCCAACCGCTTGGGGTATGAGTAGTAAGTGCCAGATGGGTTACCATTGCTGTCGTATGGCCTGCCGTAGTTCTGCAGTCTCTTCTTATCGTCGGCAACCACATCGTTGGGGTCTATATTTAACTTGTTTACTCTGTCGGAGCTGGTACCAGCTCCATGGACTGTGGTATCATCCTTGTTGTCCGAGTCGGTCGTCGGCTGTAAGATATCCTTATGCCCCGCGGCGATGTAGTGGAAGTGATTTGCCTCATATTCAGCAAACTGCCCGGGTGGTATAGGGCAGAAGAGTATAATCAAGTAGGTATACATAAGAGTGCAATCCAGGTCAGTAGGTATACATAGGAGCGTAATCCAGTTCAGTAGATATACATAAGAGTGTAATTCAGGTCAGTAGGTACACATGAGTGTAATCCAGGTCAGTTCGTATACATAAGAGTGTAATCCCGGTCAGTAGGTATACATACGAGTATAATCCAGGTCAGTAGATATACGAATGCTAGCGGAGCTGATACCAACTCCCTTCTCGATTCTATATACTCGTTCTCGTCAGTGATGCGATGAGATATATCATTCTGACCGGTTGCGATATTGCGGAAACACTGTGGTTGGCGGTACAGGGCAGCCCATTTTTGTCAATGAGTACAGCCCATTTTGTCAATGAGGACAGCCTTAACTGAGGGGTCTCATACCTCATTCATATTGTTAACGAGGTCGAAGTTAACGCCTAACTACATTGTGTGATAACTTATCGTTAATCTCACAAGGACTTCTAGTATGTACCGCTAGGCAGATTGAGACACCCAATAGGAATCCGAAGTTAAAAAGGTAGGTAAGGTTGAATGTTACTAGGAAGTAGCGCGTTAAAAAGGTAGGTAAGGTTGAATATTACTAGGGAATAGCGGAGATGGGAAGGATCCGACGTTAAAAAGGTAGGTAAGGTTGAATGTTACTAGGAAGTAGCGCGTTAAAAAGGTAGGTTAGGTTGAATCCGGATGTGACTAACATCTACCCCCCCTCACATCTGTGCGATCGTTGATGAGCCAACTGTACGTGCATACATAGTCTAGCACTTCTCGAATACGTCCACACACACACACAGATGCTGTGCTTCTTTATGGATATGAACTACAACTGCCGAGAAAGCCGGGTGTAGCCCCTCAACGTTGCTGTATGCAATATAATCATCAACACGCTGACATAATATATGCCGGTATACATCTGTTTTAACTTCGTACAACCCTAGAAATACATTCACATACCCACCCACCCACACACACACACACAC